CGATTACTGTTGTCTGTGAACCGCATGGATACGGGATTCGGGCCTGTGGTGTGCGACAAACGCATGCATGCGTCTGGGTCTGTCTCTTATACACATCTAGATGGAGGGGGGCATTCAAAATCGCACGGCTCGGATACCCACAGAAGCCTGCCGTCGGCCATTGCCACGTGGCCATCGTATGTCCGAGCCTTCTCATGCTTGAGTAGGCGAGCACTTGCATGCGAGGCAGCAACTAGGAATATCATGCCTCCAAGGAGGATGACAGCCATCCATCCCGGAGGGGCACGTATGGAGCCCGCCATGCAAGGAACCTGATCCTGTTGCCCGCTTAAGTTCAATAGATTGCCGAATTTGCCGTTTGCACCTCCTCAGCCGGTCGGGGCCCAGCCTTGCGAGCTTGTTTCTCCTACGTCGACCCTCCCCTTCATTCCAAGCCTAGTCCTGAGTTAAGCGCAGCGACTACGTTCGCCTCCGTTCGCCTCCGTTCGCCTCCGTTCGCCTCCGTTCGCCTCCGTTCGCCTCCGTTCGCCTCCGTTAGATGCAGGGGCTCCTGATGCCTGCCACGAGCGCGAGTGTCCCGTACCTGAGATCGATTGACATCAACGATAATGTCAGACAAAGGGGAACCGATTCATTATTCTGCCTGGGTGGGACGACCGCACTAAAGGGCACTTGGATTGCATGGCATACCTATAGGCTATAGTTGCTGTAACCAATAATATAATACCATTAGTTAGGACGTCAGGGGTTTGTATCTGACTCCAACTGGGGCCAGGTACATAGACGGCTTAGATGCGATAAGTGTACTGTCATATCGAGAGCCTCTCCCTTCGCTATCTACCTGGCTACCTTAGGAGTTAAGGTAACCTCGCCACGTGCCTGGACCCCATGAACCCTGTCTCTTATACACATCTAGATGTGTATAAGAGACAGATGCTATGCTGCGTGGAATGGCCGCAGCCTAGGGTACAGGTACACAAGGGTACCATCCCGTTGCACCCCAGCAGTGACCAATCCTACAGCGGCACGGAGGGGGGCATTCAAAATCGCACGGCTCGGATACCCACAGAAGCCTGCCGTCGGCCATTGCCACGTGGCCATCGT